CTCGTTTTTATTAGTTAACGAAAATGTCAATATATTTTTATTTTAGTTTTCGTCATCATCACTTAATTTTTATTTAGTTATCGTCTCGTTTTCGTCAGTGAAAATTTGTCGTTGACGAAAATTATAACGAAAATATTTCGTCAACGAAATTATCACTGGTCACTTGCTCAAATTTTTGTCGAGATGGAGGAAATGCAATCTCTGTACAAATTTAAGTAGAAAACAATACCCTGTTACAGAAGTTGCTCATGGGTTTTTTTTTGCTGGGGTCAAGCTACATCCACGCCAGGTAATATGCAAAGTGGCCACAGCAGTGAGTCTGAGTGCATGCATATTATTCACATGCGTACATACAGTATGTACTACGTTAGTGGATGAGTAGCAGGCCTCTCATGAAATTCAGTATGTGCTGTGTAAGTATGCCATTTTGGATGCACCCTTAGCCATGCTTATTTGGTGTGAAGGTGAGGCCTGACTTTGGGTTCCGGCAGCAAGTTCTGTAGGGAAAGTGAGATGGTCCACCCTGGTCCTTCTGTAGAGATGCTTATGCCCAAAGCCACTTGTCAGGGTTGGATAAAAGGCGACTGCGTATAAGTGCCATTATCAGTGTGTCATGGACGGTGGCCCTACGCCCTGTCATTCACCTCCAATGACGTTATCCTGTGTCCCGTCCGCAGAGCGCGCCCGTCGACGGAAGCAGCGGGAGGAGAAGTCCTGGCTGCTGTCCCAGGGCAAGGAGCTGCCTCCAGAGTTGCTCCATCTGGAGTCGCACTCGCCCATCCGTCGGGCACGGCGCACCAAGGAGTTGTAAGGGCTCTCCGCCAGTCTCCTGCCTGGGCTCGCTATGTTGCCGTGGCTATGGTTACCACTGTAATCCACAAATCTACATGACACCGCCCCCCCCCCCCCCCCCCCCCAAATCCATATGACCCCCATCCCCCATCATAGCTGTGGTACCCGTTACCACTGTAATAGCAAGTCCTGGTGACCTGCAACTACGTTGCTGGTTCTCATTTAACCCCAGAAATCAGCCACTGACTAATGTTGATCTGAGCTTCTAACCTGGGTTGTCGGATAAAAATCAGGTTTTAAATTAAAACTCGAACCTCCCCTAGTTCCCTGTGCTGTTAATGTCCACATTTGGGGTTTGTCAGTAGGGATATCAATGAATGTGGCATCTGGTTTACTACATTTTTTTTTTTTGTTCCATCTTTCTTCTTCTGCCTTTTAGCTATGAAATCGACGACGATTACACAGCATTGTACAAAGGTACGCCAGAAGCCTGTGTAATATTGGTGATGTATCCATGTGACATCTTAACCTGGTGTTCATTGGGTGAGGGATTCACCTTAATTTCTGATTGGTCTCTAGTACTGGAGGCTCTGAAGGCACACAAAGACGCGTGGCCCTTCATGGAGCCCGTGGACGACTCCTACGCCCCTAACTATCACGAGATCATCCAGGTAAGTGTGAGAGACTGGCCACAGCCCGCACAAACCTAGGAGACATGAATAAAGTAGCCAGTGGTCCTTATTGGAGAGAAACACTGCTTGTTGTGTGCAGAGCCCAATGGACCTTTCCACCATCGAGAAGAAGCTCAACGAGGGCGAGTACATCGCCAAGGACGAGTTCGTGTCCGACGTAAAGCTGATGTTTGAGAACTGCCAGGAATATAACGGGGAGGACAGCGGTAAGACTCGCTGCACTCGGTTCTGTGGTTTACTGGTCATGGTGGGAAAGTTCTGGCCCCAGTGTGGACTCTGAGCCATGGACTGGGAGACCTCAGACGTATGTAGGAAATTCATGTCCTTCAGTAAGAGGCCTTGGGCAGATGAGGGGAGCTTGCTTGGGTTAAAGGTCTCTGTGGAACGTGGGTCTGTAGGCCATGTGACTTTGATTAATGGAGAGCGAGTAGATGGTCCTGTGAACTGGGGCCAGGCTTGGTGGGGGCTCTGCTGAGAGGCATTCCTGCCCGGTCCCTCTAAGGAGCCTCTGTGGAGCCAGCCATCCGTCTGAGGGCCTTCTCAGGGGAGGGGTATGGGGGTCAGAGGTCACCATGGGGCCCCCTGACCTGTTCAGTGATATACATATGCTGAAGAAACGAAGGCCTGTGTGTTTCTGTGTGTGTAACATAGTGAAGGAGCTCTGCTTTTTGTCTAACAGTCTCATGGGTGTATATATACATACACACACACACACACACACACACGTGCATAGACATTAGCTCCGCCCCTTCTTGTTTCCTAGAATACACCATGATGGCTGAATCCCTGGAGCGGTGCTTCACCAAGGCCCTGCTCAAGCACTTCCCCTCGGAGGAGGGAGACACGGACGAAGAGTTCCATATCAGCAGTGAGGACAAGGAGCGGAGGGAACGCCGGAGGAGCCGGGTGCAGCGCTCAGGGGGACAGACCGGACTCGACAGCCTGGTCCGTGCCACTGAGAAGCCGGCCCGGCGCCGGCGAGACTCCCAGAGCGGGAAAGGGGGCCCCCCTCAGGAGGAACACCGGCAGAAATCCAGCCCACCACCCCCCACCTCTCCATGGTCCAATGGGCCCCTGAGAGGTCCACCTTTCCCGGCGGGACAGCCGTGTCCTAGAGCTCAGGTCGGGCCCAACTCCCTTCGTCCAGCACAGATGGTAGGTGCCATTGTCACCTCCCGTGTGGGGCTCATGGGGACTGTCACAGTTATGCTGTCACAGGAAACTATAGCAAGGCACTGGGGGGGGGGGGGCGGGTTAAAAATGACACATTAGCCAGAGAATTGGTTAAAGTTGTTTTGTTTTTTTTTAGGTCTGTCCCTGACATTTTTTTTATATCCAAATTATGTGGTTTGGCACAATAATGGAAAGACTGCAGGCAGGCTGATGGTGCCACCTTGTGGTGGGTTGCTTGGTGGCATGCATGGTGCTGATGATGGTGATGATGATGATGATCCATACCTGGTGGCTCTTCCTCTTGCCCTGCTCCATGAAGCAGCAGCTCCAGCAGCCGTCTGGCCAGCGCTTCATGTTCCGCGGGCAGAGACCGCCAGACCCGCAACCTGGAGGGTTCAGACCAGAAGGCCTGGTGAGGTTCGGGCCTGGGGGGCCAAGCTCGTGGCACCTCCCCAGCTTCAGCGTGCAGGTAGGGGTGTCGTGGGCGTCTGTGGGCGGGGCCAGGGAGCTGGCTCACCTCTTTGGCCCCAAGTTGCTCATCCCCCCCGTCTGGCTCTTTCAGCACC